ATGTGGTGCTGGATGATATGTGCACGACGGGCAGCTGTCACAGCGTTACAAGGATGATCCGTGGTGGTGAAGCATCGTGAGCAACATGGTGGGATATTCAAGTTCCCAATGGGTGAAGAGCAGGGATGGGGAGCTGACAGAGCAAGAAGCACCTGTATGAGAACCCACTGAAAATAAATCATGCACTTAAACATAGAAACCCTTATTAAAAGCTCATCTTTAAATCTAGATAATACTCCTAAAATCATTTGGCTTGCTCCTCACAAGTTTGGAAGGTGCATAGGTGCTAGAGCAATACCAGTTATCTCTCTCCTAATAGGAGGTAATAAGGGCTGAGGATTTTTGGCATGTTATATATGTATATACATACACATACCATGTATCTGTTGTTCCTTTGAAGCTGCTTGACCTGGTTTTCAGAAAATTGCAAAACCCATGGGAATGGTGGGTACATAGTTTTTTCTAAGACAACAGTTCCCTGTAAGTGGTTTTGAATGAAGATACAAAAGGCTTGTATTAGGTAGTAGCTGCTGTTTGAAGCTGTGTTTTCAGATGTGTCATCAAGCTCTCCTGGGTGAACATGATGCCTCTGTTAAAGCTGGAGTAACCAGACAGCTTTCTGGTGCCCAGACATGCAAGGTTTTGTAGTACAATCCGTATTACTTATGTTTTTAATGAAAACTGAAATAGAAATGGTTGATTATCTACTCTTAATCTTTCATAGAATCATAGAATTGCTTGGGTTGGAAAAGATCTTGAGATCACCCAGTTCCAACTCCTGCCCCGGGCAGGGACACCTCCACTAGAGTAGGTTGCTCCAAGCCCCCGTGTCCAAGCTGGCCTTGAACACTGCCAGGGATGGGGCATCCGTATTGCTCGATATAGCAAGTCTATTCTCAGCAAGTGCAAAATGCATTAGTTGAATACTAAAAAGCTGGAGAAAGTTTTATGCATCATTTTCTTCCAAAATCTTTTTAGTTGCTGCTTGGATAGTACCATGCAAAAATTTACTCATTTGATTTAAAACTTCACTCCTTTTGATTTACTCTTTTGGGTGATTTCAGGGGTCTGACCTCTTTTTTCTTTGTTCTTCCATTCCTTGTTCCTTGGAGACCATTAGAGCCAAACTCACAGCAAGACTGAAGGGTTGAATTTGGACTCGGGTGGAGCTGCTCAAGTCCAGTCACATAACCTCCACCATCTCCCTCCAGCCCTGTACCTACCTGAGAGAACATCAGTGCTCCAGCCTTTGCCAGTAGAGTTTCCTACATGTTTAGACCTTCAATTGTCTTCTGCTGCTCCAGTGGGGTGAGGAGCTTGGTGCCCGTGTCTGAACAGGGTACGCAAAATGGGGCTCTGCTCACCAAGGGCTGCTTCTGGATTGTGTGCTGAGGCAGTGTTGACTTCAGCACAAAAGGCAGCAACTGCAGCTGTAACAGTAGAAGAATTTGGGAAGGGAGAGGAGTATTGGGTGGTTAATTTAATCTTTGTGAGACTCATTTCCTGAATGATCTCTCTTACCATCATTCATTAGTCTGATCTGCTAGTACCTACTTCACTTGTTCTCTGGTTGGTAGCCACAGCAGAAGTGAAGGGATTCCGGCTGACTTTTGTCTGTCCTTGGCAACTGCATGCCAGGTCTGGATACACCATCACTGCCACCACTTTGTGGTTGCCAGGAGGTGATTCAGAGGAGTTACCTCAACATGAGGAGTTCTGACTTTACTCCTTGGCAGTCTTCCTCAGCTTCCCCAAATAACTGAGGGAGGCCACTAGGGTCAGACTCTTCCTCTGGACACCCCTTAGACTGGAACCTTCCCATTAACTGTAGGGACACTTATCAGCCTTTATGACAGCTGATGCAATTGTGTTTAATGAATCATCTGGTAATCAGAATAAACAGTTAAGATGCACAAACCGTTCAGCCAGCAGAGATCAGAGCCCAGGATTCCTACCTTTTCTCTTCACACTTACCCTTTATTGCCCTCGGTTGAAGCAGAGGTGATGGTGAATCCTCTCGGAGCTGTGGATTTCCTCATTTGGGCTGCCCATCGAAACATGTGATGAGACAGCCTTCATTCCTAAACTGTTGAATAATCATGAATTATTTTTCTCCCTCCTTGCTCCTACAAGCAGCAATTCCATGTTTGCAGTCAAAAATAATAGTAAAATTGCTTTCTCAGAACTTCCAGCTATTTCTTGGGTCATGACCCATCTTCTTTCTAATTGAGGAATCAAAAAGCATATTTAAAGCCTTTTGGTTTTAAATGGACTGAGTAATCTTTTCACTTTCATGAATTTCAGCAGTAATTGGGTTGTGGGGAGCTCTTCCCCGCTCTGCCCTACTGAAATAGCAGACTCTTCACATAACTTCTCTGTGTAGGTTCCTGGACATTGCCAACATGCACTAATTAGGATAAAACCCAACACAACACTTTACAATATGAGTCCATGTTGAAGAGTATGTAGCAAAATGATGGATAGTAAAGTAAAATAGGTCACTGAGGCTGAAGTGAAAGCTCCTTCTCCTTTTTTTGCTGTAGTGTTGTTGTGATATTACTATAAATCTTTATAATTGATTTGTCTCTGGTGTTCTTGAGTTTGACTGGGGAAGCATTTATGCTGGGGGGAACAAGAGCTTGTGTAACCACCCTGTACAGTTACAGTAATGAACAAATAAATCATTAGTTGTGTTCATGTGAAGGTTTTTACTCATCCGTATTGTATGTTTTCAAGTGTTTACTTAGAGCCATTGGAAACTGGTGGCTCTGTGATGCCAAGAAGTGTAAGGAAGTGCATTATTTTTGCAGGCTTATAGGAATCCCAGGTTGAAGGGACCTCACGTATCATCTGGTCCAACCTTTCTTGGCAAAGCATGACCTAGACTAGATGGCCAGCACCCTGTCCAGATGAATCTTAAGTGTCCAACACTGGGGAGTCACCACTTCCCTTGGGAGATTATTCCAATGGCAGGTTGTTCTCACTGGGAAAAATTTCTCTCTTGTGTCCAGTGGGAATCTCCCCAGGAGTAACTTGTGCCCATCACCCCTCATCTGTTCCATGGGACTCCTTGTAAAAAGGGAGTCTCCATCATCTTTGTAGCCACCCTTTAATTACTGGCACGTGGGATCAGGTCTCCCTGAGCCTTCTCCAGCTGAACAGTCCCAGCTCTCTCAGCCTTTCCTCACGCGCTACCCAGCCCTTGGACCATCTTTGTGGTCCTTCTCGACCTTCTCTGGTCCATTCACATCTTGTACAGCAGGACCAAAACTGAACGCAGTATTCCAGGGGTGGCCTGATCATCACTGAGTGGGACAGTGACATCTTTATGTCTGCTGGTGATGCCTGTGTTGATGTTCCCCAGCATCCTGTTGGGTTTCTTTGCTGCAGCTGCTCACTGTTCACTCCTATTGAGGAAGGAAATGACTTTTTTTTAGCTTCTAAATAGAGATATCAATAGCTGCTGGAGTCTTGTGCAGTAAATATATAAATTAACAAATAAAATAGAGAAGTTTTACTGGAATAGCTGTGCAGAATCAGTCTGTGTGTGGTGTTGCTCAAAAATCCATAGGAAGAAAGTGATTGTATAGATCCTGTTGGGAGAAGTAAGAGCTGACTAAGGCATTTGCATCGATTACTGCAGGTGGTTTGCTCATCAGAGAAAGTAGTGGTGTTCATATCTAAAAGGAGTCCCTATTAGGGGAAATCTTTCATTAGCTTTGTGTTACATCTTGGAGAACTAATGCAAAGCAAAAGTAAATGTTGTAAAGATACGTATGTGAGGGAAACTTCAGGCATGTGAGCGCTGTCTCAGGCGAACAGTGAAAAGCACAGCACTTCACCAGCTACTAAGAAGGGGAAACATGACTGGTACGGCTGAACCCAGGACAATCATGGAGTGGTTTGGGTTGGAAAGGGCTTTAAAATCATCCACTTCTAACCCCCTGCCTGTGTCAGGGATACCACACGCTAGACCATGTCACCCAAGGCTCTGTCCAACCTGGCCTTGAACACTGACAGGGGTGGAGCATTCACAACTTCTTGGGCAACCTTTCCAACTGAACCATCAGTGTAAGGAACTTCCTTATATCTAACTTTAATTTCTCCCATTTAAGTTTAAACCCATCACCCCTTGTCCTATCGCTACAGTCCGTGATGGAGAGTCCCTCTCCAGCATCCTTGTAGCCCCCTTCAGATATTGGAAGGCTGCTCTGAGGTCTCCATGCAGCTTCTCTTTTATTTATATTATAATTTCAACTTCTACTTTTCAAAAATCTTCTCTGAACTCCCTCATGACCACAAGAAATTATAAATCCTGTATTTTGGAGGGAGGCGGAGAAGACAACAATTTGAATAGCTGCCTTCGAAAACTTTATGACTGTAGTCTACAAGCACATCTTTATCTTTTAGCCTTTTGGTTTAAGATTATATTCTTGAGAATTAAATGGTCAGGTTTCATGAGCAGTCTGGTGTGTGTGTGTGAGAGACAAAGGCAAGAATCATAGAACAGTTTGGGTTGGAAGGGACCTTAAGATCATCCAGTTCCAACCCCCTGCCATGGGCAGGGACACCTTCCACCAGACCATGTCACCCAAGACTCTGTCCAAGCTGGCCTTGAACACTGCCAGGGATGGAGCATTTATCACTTTGGGCAGCCTGTGCCAGCACCTCAGCACCCTCACAGTAACAAAATTCTTCCTTATATCTAATCTGAATATCTAGATTAAAGGAAAAGATTCCTTAATTTGCTGGGGTGATGTTATGTGAGAATATATAAAATCAGGGAAAAGATTCCTGAATTTGCTGGGGTGGTGTTAAGTGGTGAGCAAAAGGAGAAAACGAGCTTTCTAGTAAGATGTGATGGTATGTTATGACAGAAGGTATACAGAACTCTCCAATAAAGGGCAGGGCTCACCCCACTCCCAATTCTGAGTACATTTTGAAGTTGTAGAGGATTTTGTTTTATCTCAAAATGAGCTAACTCTTTTGCTTACTTGCAGGTGTCAAAGATGGGTAGAGAACTGTCGAAGGGCAGATTTAGAAGATAAAACTCCAGATCAACTGAACAAGCATTACAGATTGTGTGCTAAACATTTTGAGACTTCTATGATATGCAGAAGTGTAAGTAAAAGCAAGCTCTTGTTTGTGGCACCTTGCAAAGTGTCACTGATGATTTTCATCAGAATGCTCATTTTAATCTTTGACTCTCTGAGTAACTGGTCCCTGGGAAAATCAATCCCTTGGTCTTATTTGGGATCGTTGTCATGGTCCAGGGCACCACACAGAAGTCGGTACAAAAGATGAGGTGGAAATGAGCAGTTGTGGAAGGAAAAAGCAGAGCTGCTCCGACTGGTTTAATATGTTTGTGGAGCACTGGTCTTTACTTCAGATCTTTCCTCATAATGAGCAGTGCTCATTTTGTTTATTACATAGATTTATTGTGTGCAAGTATGTAAGTTTGCATACCTCTATTTAAAATCATTAATGTGCTGTTACTGCAGTGTGTTCACAGTGTTACTTGGTTAAGTTACAGTCTGTTGTGGCCAAGAGCTTTAAGCATTCTTTGCATCTGTCAAGCTTTTGGTTCCTGTTGTATTTTATCCAGCTAAAATCGTGGCACTGTTTCTGATGAAATAATAGCTTTCAATTCTTCTTGTTGATTTTTAAGAGCTGAATTTCACTCTGATACTTAGGTAAAATCAGTCTTTTCGTTCCAAAAGATAATTCAAATACACAGGTCAGACCCTGAGCTCCAGGTGGTATTAGATGTGACAGGGTCTCTGATTAGTCAGCATCCCAGTTATGCACCCCATCAATACTGGGAGTTGTTAATCTGAAATGAAGCTTTATGGCACTCAGTTTGTTTAAAATGTGCTTCAGTCTAATGCCAGGTGGAGACGTCATCAGTTAAAATCCTGTACTTACTGGAATCAGCCAGTTTAGACAACATAAGTTTACAGTATATCCACATATAAATTGTTACTTAAAGTCTTTTTATTTAACTGCTAGAAACATTTACATGATCATCTAAAGCCTTTTCTTCTTCCTGCTCATTTGACAGGTAAATTTTCCTTCAGTATGATCTTCCACAGTAGTGTTTTGTGGAATTCCTAAGTTGACATAAAGAAGGGATTGAACTTTTTTCACAAGGAAAAAGTTTTATGTTATTATTTCTAGAATTGTGAAATCAGTGATGAAAACCAAAGTACAATAGTAGCAAAATGATGTTTCCTTTCTGATTCCTAAATGTCTTTTTATCCAGAATGTTTATTTTTAACAAAATCCTAATATTGCAGTAAATAAAAATTAATGCATCTAGGGTCTGTGATGTGAAGATGATGGGGATGGAGAAAGTGTTTGTGGTTTGGGTTGAGGTTTTCTTTAATATCTCATTTCCAGTGTTCTCTTGATATCATAGAATCATAAAACGGTTTGGGTTGGAAAGGACCTTAAGATCATCCAGTTCCAACCCCCTGCCATGGGCAGAGACACTTCACACTAGACCATGTCACCCAAGACTCTGTCCAACCTGGCCTTGAACACTGCCAGGGATGGAGCATTTACCACTTCTCTGGGCACCTTGTACCAGCACATCAGCACCCTCACAGGGAAGAACTTCTTCCTTATATCTAAGCTGAACTTCCCCTGTTCCAGTTCGAACCCATCACCCCTTGTCCTATTCCTGAAATGTGAATTGCATGGCATAGCTTTCTGTGTGTTTTAGAACATCGTAAAGTGAAAATACTTTTAAAAGAGGGGGAAAAAAGGGCACAGCACCTGAAATTCTGGGGTTATTTTGTGCACATACAGTGAGAATTTCCCAAAGAAATCCCTAATGTGGACATTTGTCTTCTTGCAGAGCCCTTACAGAACGGTTTTACGGGATAACGCTGTGCCAACTATATTTGATCTTACAAGTCACCTGAACAATCCTCACAGCAGACACAGGAAAAGGATAAAAGAGCTGGTAAGGTTTTCATGTAAGATCTGTGATTATTAGTACTACTTTTAATATTAAAACAGTCAAGGCAAGTAAGTTCATGTGAAACTTTTGTATTAAAGTGTCAAAGAACATCATAGAATGACAGAATGGTTTGGGTTGGAAAGGACCTTAAGATCATCCAGTTCCAACCCTACTGCCATGTTAGCACTTGAGTGCATTTTCTGTACTGCCTATTCTAGTATCTTTTTGTTGGTTATAAATTAAATGCCCAGATGTTATGCTGTTACAAATTTTATCTAGAAAGGAAGGTTTTAGGAAATAATCTGGAAAATTAAATGTGTTAATCCAGAGCTGATTCTGTCTTCCAAAGAATGTGTACAGCTTCCTTTTGCTTGTTGTTACAGCTCTAAATATGATTTATGGATGGTACCCTGAAATTCTTGCTACATATCGATTGTGATCTTCAGTTCACCCATTATGTCTGTGCCAATTCAGATATGTTTGTTTTAGCTTATTTACCGAGAAGATGATCCATGTAGAAAATCAATATCAAGAAGTTTTTTGTGGAACTGTGTCTTGTCAATACCTCTTTTGTGTCATTTATAAACAGTGTCTCAAGGTCTCTGTGGTTATAAGTATACTGACAATTAAGAGGAATTAAACTTCTAAATTCTGCTTATATCTTGGAAAGTTGCAGGCAACTTCTAAATATTTCTTCATGAATCTGAAGCTCCCAGCATAAGAAGGACATGGACCTTATTCAGTGAGCCCAGGGGAAGCCACAAAGATCATGCAGGCTGGAACTCCTCTCCTATGGAGACAGGCTGAGAGAGCTGGGCTGGGTCAGCCTGGAGAAGAGAAGGTTTCTTAAGGGGAGACCTTAAAGCAGCTCCCAGTGCCTAAAGGGGCTACAGGAAACCTGGAGAGGGGCTTTAGACAAGGGCCTGTAGGGACAGGCCAAGGGGAATGGCTTGAACCTGCCAGAGGGGAGACTGAGATGAGGTCTGAGGCAGAAGCTCTTCCCTGGGAGGGTGCTGAGGCACTGGCACAGGGTGCCCAGAGAAGCTGTGTCTGCCCCATCCCTGGCAGTGTTCAAGGCCAGGTTGGACACAGGGGCTTGGAGCAACCTGCTCTAGTGGAAGGTGTCCCTGCCCGTGGCAGGGGTTGGAACTGGATCAGCTTTAACTTCTCTTCCAACCCAAACCATTCTATGAATTTGACTCAGTGTGTTGATTGACTGAAGATAGAGTTAAAGATGGTTCTGTATCCAGACAGTGCTTGTTCATACTGAACCAGAATTCTTTAATGGAGTGTATTTCCTAGTAATTATTTAGTACATATTGAACAAACTTCTAATAGAAACATGGGAATCTTAGGAATTGTAGCAAACTGCTCTCATGGAGTTAGTACATGTGTCATGGCAGCAATAAACTACCTGAAGAAACCTCCTTCCCTTGGACCTTCTAGCTCTTTTTGGTAAATATCAACACTCTTAAATATGGTCTCACCTGTAATATTTATGTCTGATCTTGGTGTGTTTTAATATTTTAAGCTCAGGTACTAGACATTATAATCAATACAAGTTTGGTTTTGGTTTTAGAGTGAAGATGAAATAAGAACACTGAAGCAACAGAAGAGTAAGTGGCCCAAATAATTGAGTTCATACAAACCTTTATCACTAAGGCTGACAAGGTAATGCAGGACACAGAACTGTAAGTTTATATGTATCAGGAGGATAATTGAGTTCCTGCCTGATTCAAACAGTCGGTCTAAACTCTTTCTGAAATAATCACTCACTTCTAAATTGGAAACATTAATCTCTAAACTCCAGTAACGTAAAGGAAATGGGGATAGTAAGGGAAAGCAAATGTTCTGTTTTATTCATGTTGTCTTGACACAGTGTTTTCCATTTTGTAGTTGATGAACCTTTTGAACGGGAACAGGCAACTCAAGAATTGAATGAAAACAATGAACAAAACGCTGTCTCTGAGGAAGGAGGGGAAGAACAAGAGGAAGAAGCTGTGCCCCTAACACTGGAAGAAAGAGAAAACAAAGATTACCTTAAATCTTTGTTTGAAATACTGATCCTAATGGGTAAACAAAATATTCCTTTGGATGGCCATAATGTCGACGAGCTTCCAGAAGGTATTTTTACTTCCGATAACTTTCAGGCTCTACTGGAATATAGAATAAATGCTGGAGATGAAGTTCTGAGGAAGCGATTTGAGATGACTGCAGTCAACCTTGAGTATTGTTCCAAAACTCAGCAGAAACAAATGCTTGAGATCTGTGAAAACTGTGTTAGAGAAGAGACACTGAGGGAAGTAAGAGACTCACACTTCTTTTCTATTGTCACGGATGAAGTAGTAGACATTGCAGGAGAGGAACATTTGCCCGTGTTGGTGAGATTTGTTGATGATTCTCATAATCTAAGAGAAGAATTCATCGGGTTTTTGCCATATGAAGCTGACCCTGAAATTTTAGCTGTTAAGTTCCACACGACTATTACTGAGAAGTGGGGTCTAAACATGGAGTACTGTCGAGGCCAAGCCTACATCGTCTCCAGTGGGTTTGCTTCCAAAATGAAAGTTGTGGCTACAAGACTCTTGGAAAAGTATCCACAAGCTGTGTATACGCTGTGTTCCTCGTGTGCCTTAAATGTTTGGCTGGCAAAATCCGTTCCTGTTGTTAGTGTTTCCATTGCATTAGGAACAATGGAAGAGGTTTGCTGTCTATTCAGTCAGTCTCCACAATTACTAGTAGAACTGGACAACACAATTTCTGTTCTTTTTCAGAACAACAAGGACAGGGGTAACAATCTGAAGGAGATCTGCCGTTCCCAGTGGACAGGCAGGCATGATATGTTTGAGGTTTTAGTGGACCTCCTGCAAGCATTGGTACTGTGCTTGGATGCGGTAAGCAGCGACTCGTCCGTTAGGTGGAACAACTGTATTGCTGGTCGAGCATTTGTACTTTCAAGTGCTTTAACAGATTTTGACTTCATTGTCACTGTTGTCATTCTGAAAAACATTCTCTCTTTTACAAGAGCATTTGGGAAAAATCTCCAAGGCCAAACATCAGATGTCTTCTTTGCAGCCAGCAGCTTAACAGCAGTGTTGCATTCGCTGAATGAAGTGATGGAGAATATTGAAGTTTACCACGAATTCTGGTTTGAGGAAGCAACAAATCTGGCTACAAAACTGGATGTACAAATTAAACTCCCAGGAAAGTTTCGCAGGGCACGACAGGGGAACTTGGACTCAGAGGTGACATCAGAAAACTACTACAAAGAAATCCTTAGTGTCCCCGCAGTGGAGCATATTATTCAAGAATTAAAAGATATATTCTCAGAACAACACTTAAAAGCTCTTAAGTGTCTGTCGTTGGTGCCCTCAGTCATGGGGCAGCTCAAATTCAACACGTCTGAGGAGCATCACGCTGACATGTACAAAAATGACTTGCCTAATCCAGACACGCTTTCTGCTGAGCTTCACTGTTGGAGAATCAAGTGGAAGCACAGAGGAAAAGACATTGAGCTCCCAGCTACTATTTATGAAGCACTTCACTTGCCTGACATCAAGTTTTTCCCTAATGTTTACGCGTTGCTTAAAGTCTTGTGCATACTTCCAGTGATGAAGGTGGAGAATGAGAAGTACGAAATAGGACGAAAGCGTTTAAAGGCCTACCTGAAAAACACCTTGACAGCACAAAGGTCGAGCAACTTAGCTTTGCTGAACATAAACTTTGACATAAAACATGACTTAGATTTAATGGTGGACACTTACATTAAACTCTATCCCTATAAAGTGGAGTTTCAAGAAGACTTTACTCCCTCAAACAACTCTGAAGTAACAGGAGATGCTTAATTTTTTAAGCTTTACCCAAGCTGTTGAAACAGCTTTTAATTAAGCTTCAATGCTGAGGGAAAAAACCTGAGATCTCAAATCACTGTAACTGTGTTTCCATTTTAGGTCTTGAAGAAGTCAGTCAGTGACCCAGGTTATGGTTTATTAGTCTGCATTAAATGTGTTACGCGAACAAAATCAAGCCTGAAAACAAGCCTGTGCTCTTGGCAGAGGTGCTGGTTGACTTAACTAGGTGCTCATGTATTGCATCTTGGAAAAAATCCATTGTGGTGGTAGATCTGATGGGGCTGTTACATATTTGCTCATGAATTAAGGTAAGAAAAAAACCCTCTCAAAATGCTAAGATGAGTATTGACCATTTCAGATCTGTTACTTAGGATTTTATTCTCTTGGAAACCTTTTTTAAAAGAAGTCTTTGATGTATATTTAAACAGCATTTTGGAGGGTGGACTCAGCTATGGCACGGTCCTAGTGCTGTGGACTGCTCTCAGTGTACAGAGAACGTTAGTGACTAAGAGGTACATTTACGGTTTCCTTGGAAGAATCAACCTCTTTAATGTCTTGATGACTGTTTACATTCCTTTGTGTGCGACACAAACCTTTTGTTTCCTTTAGGCTTTTAACAGGCATGGCAGGATATGGAAATTCCTAAAAGACACTAAAAACTTAACATGGATTCCACAACTGTTTCAGTCTGACACAAACCCGTGCATCTTCTTGTCTCTTTATTTGTAAACTCACCCAAGAAGGATTAAAATCAGCATTTGTTGTTTGTCTAGATGTAAGATTGAAAATATTCCTGTTATTTTTGGCAAGAATGAAACAGTTTTGTACAGTTTATTGCAATTGAAAATAAAATGTGAATTGCTTTTTACATACTGTTGGGTTTCTCAGTAAAGCTGTGCCTCTCTGAGAATGTATTGCTTTGTAAGGTACCTTTTAGTTTTGGCAGTTCTTTTCTCTGTTGTTTTTGCACTTCCAGGGAGTGGCATTGTCTGAAGACACAGGAAAATTTGACAGCACTTCCGATCTGTATGTTCTCCTGAAGGATTTTTAAAGTATTTTGATATAGCACTAAAAACAGTGGGTTTAATTGTGGAAGTTTGAACTGAAACAGATGGAATTTGAAATGCTTGAGAAGTTAAGCTTTGCAGCTCTCCTGATGCATGCCAATACTATAACTTTACAGTTCTCCTCTTATGGACTTCCCAGTTGCAGTGGGAAAGGCCCCCAGAAATGGAAAATTGTCTGATAGTCAGAACTATGCCAAGTACAGTTCTTAATGTTTTAATGCAGTCAAACAATAACAATGAACTTGAAAACAGCCTTAGAGCAGCTCCAGGGCCTAAAGGGGCTACAGGAAACCTGGAGAGGGGCTTTGGACAAGGGACAGGCCAAGGGGAATGGCTTGAACCTGCCAGAGGGGAGACCGAGATGAGCTCTGAGGCAGAAGCTCTTCCCTGTGAGGGTGCTGAGGCGCTGGCACAGGGTGCCCAGAGAAGCTGTGTCTGCCCCATCCCTGGCAGTGTTCAAGGCCAGGTTGGACACAGGGGCTTGGAGCAACCTGCTCTAGTGGAAGGGGTCCCTGCCTGTGGCAGGGGTTGGAGCTGGAGGAGCTTTAAGGTCCCTTCCAACCCAAACCATTCTGGGATCCTATGATTCTATGACTTACTGAGACAAATTGCAGAAACAAAGGAATAGCAGGTTGCAATGGGAAGTACCCCTTGAACTTGAGAGATTTGTGTGGAGGAAAACCATTTACTCAAACTATAGCAGCTCCAGTCTTATTTCTGAGGGTGAAGAGAAAGGATGTGACTGAAGTGGAATCCAGTAATACCATTTTAAAGAGAACACTATTGCTAGAGCAGGTCAGAGACTGTCAGAGAAGTGTCTGAAAATGGGACAAATACTGAAGATGAATTTAATTGCATGGGTTTTTTAACAGATTCTTGGGATAGAGGGAGTTATCTTACGCATCCTGCCAGTTCAGGGCACTATGTATTTCAAGGTGTATCTATCTGAGGTATTTGCTTTGACCTGGTTTGCTGGCACACTGTGTAGTGAAGCAATAGGTCTGCTTATTTTCAGTATTGCTGCTGAGATACAACTTTAATGAAAGTGGATTTTCCTTACTGTGCTTTGTGAAAGGAATGCTTGTTATATCCAAACTCTGCTTATTTTTCCTATGGACAGAATTGCTGTTAGAAATCATTGTAACTTAAAGCATGGAGCATTCTGTTTCCTACAGTGTTACCTCTGTCACTGGCTGCAGAAATCTGGTACCTGCTGCTGTGGCTGCCAAGGTTCTGCTGTAAAGAAGGGAAGGACCAGAACCACTGAATGCTTCTGGGTGCAGGTATCCAGCTCCCCTTGTGCTCTGTTCTGTGCAGCTCTGCACATCTCAGAGTTGCCAGAAACCTACCAATTACTCTGAGAAGATTATGATAAATCTCTTCACTGGATCTGTTTCAAGAAACAGTTGCTAACCTGGAATAACAATGTGTTATACCAGAGTAGGCTTAATGTTTGATAATTTCCAGACTTCTAATGCTGTCTGCTTTCCCTAAGGAAAACACAAAGAATTTCAGCCTCCCTGATGTTTTGCTTTGGTATAAGTAGTGAGGAATCAGCAAAAACAGTGACATTGGAAGTATTAGATCTGTAGCAGTTACAAAAGATGTTCATTATGAGTTTAGTTTACTTTGCAAAATAGCAGTGTTAATGAATATTCATTACAAGGGTGCTGAGGTGCTGGCACAGGGTGCCCAGAGAAGCTGTGGCTGCCCCATCCCTGGCAGTGTTCAAGGCCAGGTTGGACACAGGGGCTTGGAGCAACCTGCTCTAGTGGAAGGTGTCCCTGCCCGTGGCAGGGGTTGGAGCTGGAGGAGCTTTAAGGTCCCTTCCAACCTAAGCCATTCTATGGTATAATCCTAGATGGAGTCCTGGTCTTCTCATCCATTCCCACCCACCATCCTGCAGTGGTGTCGGGCTGAGCAGACATGGGCTGGAGGGCTTTGTGCAGCTCACAGGAGTACCTCACACAAACCCTGCAGAAGGGATGTCTGTGAGGAGGCTGATGCTGATGTGGAGGTTGGACCCATGGTCCACCATCTCACCAGCAGCCAGCTAAAGATACACTTGACCTCCTTCATCTGCTGGGGGACTTAAATTAAAGGTGAATCATCTATTTTATTAAATCAGAAGCCACCTCAAGGGCTGCAGCCAATTATGCCACGTGTTGTCCATATCCCAAGAAGAGTATTTGTGGAGAAATGAGATCCATATGGGCAGAACCTTGCTGTTGAGCACGTCCCACTGGAGAACAGCCTTGGGTAGCTGTCTGCAGAGATCAGGCTTCGCAGGATTCAGGCCTTAACTCTTCATTTATAGCACTGAACAGCTCTCGAGGATAGGGAGGGATCTGTAGGAGGTACTGAATAAAGTGACCGGTGCTGGGACATGCATTTCCCCTCCAAGGAGCAAGGAATGCCTTTGCCTTTGTGTGAGGCTCTGTGCTCCAGGAATGAGCAGGAATATCACGGTCTGGCCTGAATTCCTCCCTGGGGAAGACAGAGACAGATGATATCATTGTTGGAGTTGTTTAGACATCATAAAGGTACTTACTGAGATGAGAAAAATACGGGTTTAATTCCTTTTTTAGTAATAAAAAAGTAATGGAAAGCTCTGAGTGCCAGGAACGTCACTGAGAAAAGTCTTTGCACCCTGGAGAACTTCTCTTTGCTTATGAATAAGCACTTCTAAGTCACTTTTGGGTTCATTTTATGTGCATATCTATGTGTTTAAAGTCTGCATAACCAGATGAAGTGACTTGTTTGTTTTGCAGATGCCAGATTTGCTGAGCAATGCTATAAGAAGCATGCCCAGAGTGAAAGGCACATGGCTTATTCCTGAGAGACTTTATCCACGCCACACACAGCTCCTCCTGAACCCTGTGCCCTAAGATCCAAGCACATCACTGTTAAATTAGGAAAAAGGTATTAGTTAATACATGCTAATTATTAGACGGTTTCCATTCTGAAATGGTTAAGTGTAAGTATGCAACTGAGTATTGACTTTAAGGCTTGCACAAACCTACACCTCCTTAAACTTTAATCCCATAAGAGCATCATCATTGCAGAATAGGTGTTCGTTGAGAAACCTGTGGGTTTTAGCCATACAAAGGCACCCTTCTCCATTAGTATAACAGCTGGATTTGGAAACTACTTGTAATACATGCAATATGATGTCAGGTACCAGGTATTTTCCAGACTATGTCACATTCTCCCAATGGGGATAAGGGAACAGATTTAGAACTGTGAACAACCAAATATCCACCACTGACACAGAAACCTACCTCCCATCTTTAAATCTAATTACAAGAAATTAATACAGTCATTTCTTCATTTCCAGCAAATCAGTATTTCCCGAAGTATCATGACGTTTTCCCTGAGCTGAGCATTAGGGCTCCATTAGGATTTTCATTTACAGACCACTTGGAAGTATCTTATTACATGTAAGAGTTGTGCTAGGTCAGATAAAAACATCTCTTGCATTCCTTGCTTGTCCTACAGCTGCTGCACAGTAGATGTTTCAAAGTGCTAAAGGCATGAAGAGTCGTTAGTATGCAGGTCTGGAATTTTTTTTAGGAATATTTGAATATATCACAGCCTTTAGTAACCAGATAGAGCAACCACTTTTTCTGGGCTGGGAGAGAATTTGGGATCAGAGCTATAAAATGGTATTTTTGATTCAATAATAATTCTGAATAATGAAAAAAAATGATATTTTAACTAAAAAGTCATAATCTAGTGTGAAGTACCATTTTATACATTTTTAATCCTCTCAAGATTAAACTGAAGACAAATTGAGGCAAACTTGTATGGGTTCAAACTGAAACAGGAGAAGTTCGGGTTGGATACAAGGCAGAAGCTCTTCCCTGGGAGGGTGCTGAGGCGCTGGCACAGGGTGCCCAGAGAAGCTGTGTCTGCCCCATCCCTGGCAGTGTTCAAGGGCAGGTTGGACACAGGGG